AAGGCTTCCACTTTAGTAGTGCGGAAATAGTTGCAACAGTTCTAGGCATACGAAAAATTCTACAGTTTGGAGAAGAATGTTCTCCCAACTACACCAAGAAGCATCTTCTTAATTACACTGACTCCTGAAAGGCATCTTCACGCAAGAAACTTGCTCATGCAGTAGCATTCGACTACGGTCTTCCTCTCACAATAAACCAACCAACTTATTAAAGGTACATTTGGAATGCCTAATATTCTCTGTAAAAGTTCTAGCCTTTCACTTTAGTGGGTACAGCATATGTTGTAAATATGCGGAGATTGAGGCTTCCAACTGCGAGCCGATTGTCCCGCGGTCGGCAGAAGTAGACTTAGAAGTTTTGGAGCAACTTTAGTGCAAAGCTTGTCAACAAAATTTATTACTAAGACACTGAAGCTCACGTATAGTAGAGATCATTCTTCGTCTTCATTTCGATCTGAACCTGAACAATGCAGCGGAGGATCTCATTTTTTTCTGGTTCTATTAGTGGATGCTGCTTCGAATTGAAGTGAAGTGCTTTCATTCATTAATACGATATAATCTATACTTATTCAGCGCAGCATCTGTCTCTTTATTCACCCAATAGCTTGTAGAGCACGTCGTTCCATTGTCATCGTTGCCAGTGCGTAAAGGACCATAACCTTCCTTAAACCCGGAATACTTTCTCTGCAAAGCAACACTTGCTAAAAATGTATGTTGGATGTCCAGTTTGTTGTTATTGTTGTTCTTGTAATAGCAAGAATATTCCCCAAAGTACTTGTTGGGGAATATTCCGGATAAAAATCCTGGTTGTTCCTGCATAAAAACCCGACTGTCGCGAGGAGCTATTGGTTTTTAGTCAGCTCTTACGACAGGCAGCACTTAACGCGGGTAAGTTCCTGAACCCCCAAACAGGCATGCTGTTTTTATTGATTAAAGCTAGTCACTAAAGAGACGATCAACAGTGACGTGGGAGTCTAGAAGGACATTCACTGGCTATTTGTTAGACGACGACGAAGAGATATTTCATCTTATTATTCGTTGCTACGCTTCTTTGTCTACTCTGTATTCTTTTTACATACTTGTAAAAGGCGAATCACTTTGCCAAAGTAATTAATGAATGCCTAAAAACTTTTTTGCTTTCGAGGTTTTGAATTAAAGAGACTTCAAGTAGGTACATTTGTATAAAAACTAGATAAACAGCTGTATTAAGGGCAAGTATCGGCTACGTATCTAAATTATGTTTATTTTTAAGAACTTTTAATTAAAGAGTTATATGAAAGTCAAGCCTTCATTCGTGCTACAAGATTATTCCACTTTTGAATTATTTACTTGGTGAAGGACGTGAGCTATAACAGTTGCCTCTGAAACTTTAAAAATAGTCTAATTGATTATTTTATTAATAGAAAAAGAGAAAAAAATAACTTACCACGGGTAGGCATACCTACAAGGTACCTCAAAGCCTACATGTATGCTCCTTCGGCTTTCCTTTTTTGCCTTTAAGTTAAATAAAACAATTTTCAATTGGTTTTGTTTGTGTTTTTTGTTTATTAATCTTTCATATTGTGTAAATGCAATGAAATTTATGTATTTAGAAATTGGAATTTTTGCATAACTTAACGTTACATATGTATGATTTACATACTATTTCTTCTTTTTTATCAATTCATATACATATGTATGTATGTGCGTTCTCATCACTCCAAGTATGTAAAATGATGTATGCGGAATAGTTTCTAACAAATAATTTCGAAAATAGACAAAACAAAAAAATGCTATTAACACTTTCTTGTTAGAAATTTTACAATAATATTTGCAATTCTTTGAGTCTGGGTGGTACTAGCTGTGGGCTCTATTTCTTTTTAATTTATTTGAATTAAATTTTATTTGAATTATTTTTATAATAATTTCGTTAATTTTAGGCGCTTTGAGTTTGAGTTTGTTTATGTTTTTTTTTGTTTTTCTGGCTACTTTAGTGCTCCTTTTGAAAAAAGCTGGTGTTAAACGCTTTTCAATAGCCGCAGTGTTGTCGATTTCGTATTGAATCTCATGTAATTTCAGTAAGTTATTTATTTTTTACAGCAACACTGGTTATAGTATTTCTTGTGGCGATTTCGTGTACTCCAATTTGAAAAGGTCGGAATATTACCTTAATGATTTCTATAACTAAGACAATCAACGTTGACAATAATAGTATTTCTTGTATCTTCGTGTTCAGCTGATAGTACACCGTTAACGGTGATTTTTGTATTTGTTTGTTTTTTTTTTTTTAGACTTTTCCGGTGTTTTGTATGTACGTACGTAGACACTATCTGGTTAATTTCGTTTCAATTTAAGGTTTTCGATTTTTTTTTTTAATCTTTTTCATTTTGGTAGGCAGGTTAGTCATTTGTCTTATTCGATGTCTTCAAATAAACGGCTTGTTCTGTTTATGAAAGTATGCTCTGTCATTAATGTGAATTCATATACGATAATGTGAAGGGCAATTGTTTCAATGTTTGTAGTTTACTTAATTTAAATTTTTAAATATTTATATAAAGTGGTTTGTTTACAGTTTTCAGTTTTTTGTTTTTGTTTTTGTTGTTAAGAATTAGTGTTTGAATTATTATTTGTTTAATTTTTTAATGTAGTTTTTCTCTTTTGCTTAAACACTTAATTGTTGTTTTTTCTTTAATTTTCTTTTTTTCTTCTTCTTCTTTTCCATTAACTACAATTAAATTTAATTCATTTTGTGTTGTTTTTTTTCTTTCTTTCATTGTTTTCATTAAATTTATTAATTATATTTTTTACTAATCAACAATTAATAGTTGAGATGGAAATTTCGATATTTGTGACCCTCAAAGCAAATTTAATATTATTCTGTGGCGGTGGGGGGCTTTTAAAAATTTACCCCCACCCCTTGTAACGCTTCTTAACGCTGTACTTCTTAACATGTACTTCTTCTTCTTCTTCTTCTTCTTAGTATTCGGTTTCTTCTTCTTCAATTACATCAATTTTTTTGTTAAACTTGAAATGCTTCAACTTGTTTTTTTTTTGTATTTTATGGTTGTTTATTTCAACATTACAATTCATACAATTTTCAAACAAAAAACAAAAAAAAAAACGAAAAATTACTTTACTGTTCGCCATTCTTTCAATTGAAACATCTGCCATTTTTTAATCATTAATACATATTGTTGGTTTTTAAATTTCTTTTAATTTTATAATTACACTTATTTAATTCAACGGCGGTGACATAAAGTGTTGTTATTTTTTTATTTCAAATTTATTCAATTTTTTCGCTACGGTTCTTGTGTTTTTTGTTTTTTAGTTAATTTTTTTTTTTTTAATTTATATTCAACATTTTTGCCGATTATTTTCTTATTTGAATTTAATTTTTCAACTATTTTTTTTTTGTTAATTTATTTTAACGAATTACACGCAAGTTTTTAGTTGGAAAAGTATTGAAAATGCTGCGTTAATTTTTTATGACTTTTTTGTGTCTTTTTAATAATTTATGAGATTGAAGTTGTTATTGTGTCCTTGTGAATTATGTAATTATTACGCTGTTTTGTGTTTTTTATGCTGCGTTTTGGTGCAAGTTTTTACTACTTAATTTGACAAATTTCTATATAAATTGAATTAATATATATTTTTAGTTGACTTTTTATTTGTTTTTGTTTTTTTTTTTTGAGTAATGTGCGTTGTTGCACTGTTTTAATGTTTTTTTCTTTGAAGTTTAAGATTTTAATTTGAAGATTTATAGAAGAAGTTGAGAAATTCAATGTTCTTTTATATAGTTTTGTATTATGTATGTGTGTTTAACAATTGCCCTTTTATTGAATTATGTAATTATGTTGCAATTTTTTTATGCATGACTGTAGATGAAACGAATACGGGTAGTGGTGTAAATGGTTGATGATTTTTCAGAGTTCTATATGCCTGAGTGTATTTCAAAATAAATTTTTTGTTTTACTTAAATATACTATTTAAAGAATAATTTTTAAACAATCAATAAAAAAAAATTAAATGTTTCAAAATTTGTTTTTTTAACATTTTTTTGCCTGTTTTTTAGTACAGTTTCCGTTTGCTGGTTGAAAAAAAATACTTTTTTGTATTAAGTGAAGATATTTAAGTTCATTATAACGGTATGTATGAATAAAAAGTGAAAAATGTATGACATTACAGCCGTTTATTAAATTCTAAATGTCTTTTTTGTCATTTTTAGTACCAAAAAAAAATCACAAATGCATAAAAATTAATTCTTTTAATTTGAGAATGCATATAAAATATGTATATAAATAGAAAATATATAAAAAAAATATATATAGTATATATTTAAAAAAAAATTATATATAAATTTTGTAACAAAAATTATATATTTAAAAAAAAAAAATTATATAAATTTTATAACAAAAAAATTGTAAAAGTAATTCCTTTAAATTTGACAAACATATATATAAAATTTTTAAATTAAAAAAATATCTTTATATAAAAAAAAATACACACATCTATGTTTATACTAAAACATAAAAATTTATAAAAAATAAATAAATATGTTTTAACAAAATTATCAAAAAAAAATTATAATACAAAAAAAAATATATATTGGCATAAGGTTTGGATTATTCCCATAATTAATCACCCCCTCGATGAAACTTTAATTTTTATGCATTTGTAACTTTTTAAAGTTTTTGAAATTTTATTTTTAATTTTTGTTTTTTAATAAACTGTCCGTTTTTTTGGTGCGCTTTTGACAATTTTTTATTACACTGTATTATTATTATTTTTGTTTTTTGTTTAAGTTGTTTTAGTGGTGAGTCAATATTTTAACGAGGAAGAGGCTTAAAAACTGCAGATTAAACGAAAATTCTCGATACTACAAGTTGCAAGAAAGGAAACTAACTAACAAATTAATGAGATTTTATTTTGGAATACATTTTTGAAAAAAAAAAAACAAATATATATTCAAAAATGGCACGCAAATGCTGTATTTTTGAAGTGTTTTAAATTCCTTTCCCATCCCTTTTAAATTGTTTTTGCAAATTCTGTTTGAGTTTCGCGTTGCTCACTCTGATGTTTTCAAACCAAAATTAGTTCTTTATTGGTCAATTATGTGCTTAGGTTTTGAGAAAGTGTGGTTATTTGAATTTGCATACATTTTTGAAAAAATATATTTAAATTTTGCATGAAGATGCTGTTGTTTTGAAAAGTCTTTTGAATTGTTCGTCAATGTTTTAAATTGATTTTGTTAGTTTTTGATATAAATCTGGGCTGTTTTTTTTATGAATTTCGCATGTTTTTTATGATTTTTGTTTGATTTGTATGAATTTTGTTTGCTTTGTATGAATTTTAACTGCTTTTCGTGCATTTTCGTACTGATGCGGTCCTTTATTTTCAACTTAGCTGTCATAAGCTGTTGTTGTTTTTGTCAATTTTTGTTTTTTTTTATTTTTTTTATTATTTTAGTTTGCTCTTTTGCTTTGCCACAAATTGTATGCAGTTGCTTTATATACTTCATTGTTTGTGTCATTATTTACCGTTAAGCATTCAATTACGATCTCTACGCTGCCACTATAATACTTTTGCAATGCACTTTCCACTGGGTTTTGCTTTACAATTTTGGTATTTACCAACTTTATTTCATCGGTTTTCCGTTTTTTTTTTTCCGGATTTTTTTCGTTTTTTGGTTTGAACTTAGTAATTAGAATTAATACATTTATATATATATATATATATTTATGTATATAATTTTAATTGATATATTTGTGTGTTAGCTTGCATGCTTAAACATCTCTTATGTGTTATTAAATATAAGAACAATAAATCATTATTTTTCCATTATGTTTTCTCGGCATCAACTCTCAATGTTGTTTGGTTTTCTTTTGTTTTTAATATTTATATGTATGTAAATTTGTTTTAGTTTAGTTTTTGTTAGTACTATTAACTTCGAATAAGGACTAAATGTTGTTGTTTTTTTTTATTATTATTTCATACACTACGCATTATTCTCATTTAGTGTCAGTTTGTATTTGTTTTACATCTGAAATATTTTATTGGCGTATTTTTTACTATCGCCTACAGCATGCTTTGTGTTGTTGTTGTGCATTAGCTGATTTCATATTTATAATAATTATTGATTTGGCTTTCAATGCGCTTTATGTTGTCTTAATAAAGATATTTTGTTTATTAATTGCATACAAATGTGTATATATGAAGTTACTTATGCGCTTTAATTGGGTGGTTAGTACTAGTATGTATATATATATATATAGATAAGAGTATATTAATATGCATTATTAAGCATAAAATTAATATATATGTACATATGCGTACATATATATTGTAGTTTTTGTTTTGTTTTGTTTTGTTTTTTTTTTTTTTGGATATTTTGGTCCGCTAGGTTCATTTGGTATTTAATAATGATAATAGTATAAACGTTTATGTTGAACAAGTCAAACAATTGCTTGCTTGAAATGTTTAATATATTAAAAAATAAATGAAAATAAATAAAAATAAAAAACGAGTCAAGTTTACTCCCCAAGATTTTTTTTTTTTTTTTTTTTTAAATATTTGTTTTTCTTATGCGTTTCAAGCACTTAAATGTTAGTTTAATCAAGTAATATTTAATTTTAGTATTTAATAATTGTTTTGAATCTCATGCAAGTACATTAAAGTTTTTTAGTTTAATTTTTTTTTTTTTTTGGTTCAATATATGCAAGTACATATATGTAATATTAATATTATACATTTATATAGATATTTTATTATATCCAAACTCTATCAAATTTTAATAAAATAAAACTCCTATTAGCACTGCACTGTGTCGTTGGTATTGACGTGAGTGCTAATGCTCCTTGTTTACTAAAACACGAAAGCTACATTTTGGTGCAGTATATAAGTATATATATATATTTTTTTTTGTATTAAATCAGTGTATTCAGCTTAACTAATGGTTGGCCAGCTCTCACCAACGCTTCTAATTACATATATATTTATATTTTTTTCTTTCTTAAATACGCATACAAGTATTCATTACATGTATATATATGTGTATTTGTTTTATTTTTTTTAATAATTCATTTAATGCAATTTTGCCATTTTTTCCCATCAACCAGCATTTTGAAACTCCCTACCTTCTTTTCTTCCCTACTTCTTAGCTATTTGTTTGTAGCTTCCCATTCCTTTTTTCGTTATTTACGTCTTTTATCAGCATATATGTATATTTGTCTACCACGTTGTTATTGTTATTATTTTTTTTTTTGCTTGTTTGTTTGTTGTTCTATTTATATGTATTTTGCTTTTATAACACACTTTTATATGTTCAACTAAATATACCATTTACCAAGTTTTACAATAATTTTTGCATTTAACTAGAAATTAAATATCCATTTACCAAGTTATACATTGAAAAAAGTTACAGCTTTAAATTTTTTTTTTTCACAATTTGCAAATTTTTCAAATAACGCATTTCAACTTTGAATTAACAGCTTTTAAAACGTTTAACGAACGGCTACAGTATACATATGTATGTATATTATTGTATAACTCACGTTAAATATATTTATTTTGGCAACATGTTTACATGTATGTATATAGAAACATACATCGTTGTATGTATGTATGCAATATATATATTTTTTTTTTTTTGAAAAAGTTGTTCACCTTGAGCAAAAATTATGAATTTTCAAAATTATAAATAGAATAAAAAACAAAGATATAATTGAATAAAAAGTAAATATAAACTCTTAGTTATAAAAACGGATTTTTTATTAAAACTTAATATTAATATGAAAAACAAGTTTCAGTGCATTTAAAACAATTCTCATAAAAATTATGCCATAAATGAAAACTTATTCTCAATAACAAAAAAAAAAAATGCATTTTTAATGCGAAAAAAATTATATATAATTCAACATAACAGTATGCTTTGCATGTTTTCACGTATTTTAATTCATTTTTCACCAATTTTTACTACTACCGATTTCTCAAAATTTTTGTCAGCTTTCTAATACCAGTTTATGCGTGCCAAAAGGTATTGGTACGATTGGGGTAGCGTTGCACTGGCACATCACATAATTGTGAATTTTCCCATATTTTTTTTTTAATAAATACAAGTACATTTGTGGACAATCAATTTTTCATTTTCTTTGCATTTTTCTATTTGTCATTAAGAGCAGTTATTCACTTTTCCAGTTTTCTTAAATATTTATTTATTTTATTCTTTGCCTAGCCGTTTGCCATTTGTCATTTACCGATTCCCCTTTCTTACTCAACGCATGTGTAGGCGCTTTAAAGTTATGCAAAAATTCCATTTTCTATTTTTCACTTTTTGTTTTTCTTAAATTACATGCTAACTACATACATTTACTGGAAATTTCGCTTGAAAGCATAGTGTAGTTTCAGCATTTTTGCCTTACACAATATGAAATTTTTTAAATAAAATTGTTTATTTCTGTTCTTGAATTTAATTTATATTAAGAAGCTATTATTGCTTCCATGCCGTTATAATGATTATAATTAATAATAATGTAGATTATTTTTCTTCTTATTTTTGCTCATCAAATTTTGTTTATACGAAATATTTGCAATTGTTGTCTGTCTGCTGGATGTATGTGTATGTGTTTGTATATTTTCTGTTGTTGTATGTTGTAAAGTATTTATGTATTAATGTTATTGTACTGTTTGTAAAAGAATAACGGTGTATGGTTGTAGTAATTTTTTTTTATTTAAACTTTAAGTTTTATATATATATTTTTATTTAGCTATTTTAACTGTAGGTTACTGTAGTAACTTTTCGGAAAAAAAAGAGAAAACAACTAAAATATTTATAAGTATGTTTGGTAGGTAGGTAAACAATTGAATGCAGTGGTTCTGGGTGTGTGTGAAAATTTAAAAAGTTCCATTTAAATTTTTATGCTTATTTTTGTTTAATATATATATGTACGTTTACTATTTTGGAATAATTATTATTATTTTTTGTTGTTTGTATATAATTAAGAATATTTAAATATAATAAATTTATCGTAAATCGGGATCCTCATCGGCTGCTTTCTTAATTCTAAGCAATATTGTGGTATACCACTGGTCCAGACGTGAAATGCTATCATAATCTTTAACTGCTTCTGTGAAGCCTTCGATGTTTTGCTCCTCCAAGTGTTCGCAGAGTACCTACGGAAAAGAAATAAAATTTTTATTATGAAATTAAAGATAAATAACGATAAAATATATATATGTAAACACGCTAAGAAACTTGAACTTGATTTACATAGCCACCGCTTACTCGTTTATAGTTAAGAAACAGTTCAAAGTAATGTTCTTTTTAGCTTACACATTTTCATACCTTAATTAGCTTAAATTCACGCGAATCTTGGAATGCTGGATACTGCTGTGCATATTTTTCTATTGCATGTTGAGCATTTAAGAGATCCACACTTAGATGACATAAAGCAGCACGAAAGAAATACTCTTTGGCGCTATATTTGAGCAGTGAGCTTTCCAATGATGATGCGGCAACCTGTATCGACAGGAAATAATTGTTAACTCAAAGGTTAAATTGAGAAATATTAAATAGAAGATACACTTACCTGCTCATAAATATTAATGGCCTTTTCGTAGTCTTCTAGCTGGGCAGCATATTGAGCTACTTTCAACATGCATTTATTGGCTGAACTCACCGATTCTTCGCCCTTAAAGTAATCAGCAGCTTGTTCATAATGTTGGACAGCTTTGGCCTATAGAAAATATCAGAAACATAAGTATTACTAATAGTCTAAATGTTATTTTGGTTTCCTTTTCTTTTAAATTATTATTTTTTAATATATTTTTTATTTTCTTATATTTTTAAATGTCTTTATGTTTTTCTATAATCTTTGTTTTATTTTCGTTTATATTTTAACATTTTTTCCATTTTTGGTAAATTTTTAATTTTTTTTGTATTTTCTATTTTTCTGTATTTTAATTTTTTTTTCATAACTTTAATTTATTTATATTTTTAATTATTTATTATTTTGATTATTTGTATTTTTAATTATTTATATTTTTTTATTTATAAATTTTTTTAAATATTTTATTTTTTTCTTTTATTTTTTATATATTTGTACGAGTTTATATTTTTTTATGTTCTTATATTTTTTATTTTTTAATTATTTTATATATTTTTTATTTCTTTATTTTTTATTTTATTTTATATATTTTGGATTTTTTTATTTATATATATATTTTTTATATTTGTTATTTCTTTCATTTTATTTTTGAAATGTATTTTTCCTTTTTTATTTTCTTATATTTTTTTTATATTTTTATATTCTTATATTTTTATATTATATATTTTATATTTAGTTATGATATTTATTTTTATATCTTTTATTAAATTTTTTAATTATTTTTTATAATTTATATTTTTAATATTTTTTTATAATTCATATTTTTTATATTTTATATTTTTTATATCTTTTATTTTTTTTTATTATACTACTATTTTATTTTCATTGTACTTTTATTTTTTTTTTGTATTTTTAATTCCCTTTTAATTTTTTTTATCTAATTTCTACTTTTTGTTTAATTTTTCTATTTTTTTATATTTATTATATATCTTATCTGTTTTCAATTTGTTATTTAATTTAATAAAAAAATTTGTATTTATTATATTAAATTAATATTTTTACACTCATATTAGTTAGTTTAAACTCACCAGCGTTCCCGGATCGCTTTCATACATTTCAGCAATGCTCTGGTGATGCTTTGCTGCCATGGTGAATCGACCCATATCGGTGTAGATATCGATGGCTTTAAGTAGGCATGATACAGCGCTTTCGACATCGATCTACGAAGAAATTTTTATAATTAGATAATAAGAACGTTGTTTGTTATCAGCACGTATATAAAATGTACATACCTTTTTATAGCAATTAGAAGCATCTACATAGGCAACACCGGCATCGTGCCGGCTACCGGCACGCGAATGCAAATTGGCAGCCTCACAAAAGCATTCACCAGCTTTTGCCCAATTTTTGGACATTTTGAACATATTACCAGCGCGTTGGTAACATTCGATGGCATCTTCAACTTTATTTGAACCACTAAAAAGTAAAAGAACAAGAAAACATTAATTTGCAGGTGCAAACAAAAATACGAAAGTTATGTAATAATATATGGGTGTGGCATGTTTTCTTGAAAAAAAATAATAATTCTGACTTGAAACTTGCACTTTTTGTTAGGAAGGTGTAGTGCTTTTTTTAACAATTTATATTCATTATCATTTTAAAAAAAGAAAATGAAAGGACTTTGACATCATAAATTAAATTTTAATCATGAAAAGTTCATGAATAACAAAGCTGTGTCTCTGAAGTATTTTAATATGGGCATAACTAATAAGTTGGAATCCAGTCTCGCATATTCTACGCTACTGGTTCATAGCAATACATATATAAACACTATTTAGTAAACACTACATACATTTGTCATTACATATCTATATGTATCCACATTTCAATACCATTTCGCAAATTACATCAAAAAGGAAGTTCCATCTTGTGCCCAGGCTACTTTCGTATAAGTATCAATTATGCTACACACTCCTGATTTCACTTTATATATATGTATACACATAAACTTAGTAAGTGGGCTGAATCCAGGCTTTTGGACGAAAGGCACATTGCGGCGTAAGGGCTATGCTTCTGCGCCACAATTTTCAGTATACACAGGATATAGTGTACAAAAACAAGCATCTTCGTTTTAAAGAGTGAGCCATAAGCAGTGTAAACACCAACAAAATATTATGGCGTGAGGGGCGTTGAGTGCAATGGAATCTTGCGAAAAATCGAAGTCGTCGTTGTTAGACAAAGGGGTCGCTACCACCCAGACAAATGACTCTACAATGTAGATTCAACTTGGATTACACAATCTGACTCAAAATGTGGCAAAAAAATATAAAGTTCACATTACTTTTATTTTAAATTCAGTCACTTGAGAGAAATATTTGCAAATATTTAAATTACACATCACTTATTAGTCATCATTGCTGTAGTAGGTAGTTTTCACAAATACACATATACACAATAAAATCGATAATCTTGCGACACATTTTGCACCAAACACATCAGTCCGTACAATGGCACAAATAAATATATTTTAACACTTTAACAAAGGAATTTTATTGTTTGCTACTATATCCCAATCTGTTTTATATGCACATAGCTGGTAAATAAAAAAGTTGCAATTGTAATCTAATCTTCAGCTGAACTCACCCAAAAAGCGAACCGAGAAAACCTTTTTGCTGCGTCAATTTCTTCTCAGCCTCGGCCATCAATTGCAGCGCTTTCTGCTCATTGTCGCCCATAATTGCAAATTTTCCGTAAATTTGCAATTAAATGCAACAAATTATGATGTTAGGGAATTTTATATGAAAGACACAAAATTTTTTCACTGCCGTTTGCGAAACTGCGTTGGAAAAAATAAAAAATCAATGACGAACGAAGTGTACGAAGACTGAGCAGCTGCAACGATGACGGCGACGACGACTGCAAAAACTTGAATGACAGCAAAACAGCCAAATGTCAAATTAAAGAAAAAACAAGAAAAGACAATTATGTTGGCAGTGCTGACGTTGGCAGAGATATGGCTAAAGTGGTGTTTTTAAAAAAAATTTAGAGATTTTGTAGGTTGTGGAGGTGAAATTGTTCTAGCAAACTAAATTATTTATTTAAAGCATTACAAATAAATGTATACATGTACGTACATAGTTAAGAAATAAGTTCGATGAAATATGTTATTGAACTGTAGGCCTTTTTGTGAGCAAAATAATCATTTTATAATAGTCAAAACGTATTGACCCCAGAATTTTATTATCGTTTTTGATAAGTACCTTGAATTTAAATGCAATTTGTACTTGAACTTCTTGTCTAACCACCTTTTAAATTATGGTTCGAATTTTAAATCTTGGATTATGTAATATTAAAATATTTCGAATTTCCATATTAAAAAAATTAGCTCACAAATAATAAAACACTTAAATATGATAAATATTTTGGAAAATTAACATCTGTATGCCAAAAAAATCTTTCACAAAATTTTCATATGAAAAAATACATACGTAGCCTCACTTCCCCTCCCTTCATTATGTGACTTAGCATAGTCTATTTATGTGTCAAAAATCCCTATAATTTGAATGTAAGCGCACAGTCTGGCATCTTCTTGCGGAGCTCTGGTTAGGGTTATATTGCTACTTTTTTCTGTGCTACTTTTTTCACTTCAAAATGTATTGGAATTTTACAAGTGTTTTGCTCCATTCCTTCACAGCCCCATATCATTTGGATTTTATCAGTTGCTAACGATGGGTGTCGTGCGTGTCTAGTCGGACGGAAATGAAACGTGCGCGTATTGGTCAACGGTTGAAAAGTGATTTGAATACGAAATTTTGTAGAACAAGGAAATATTTATTTAAGGTGTGATGACAGCAAAAAATTATGCTAAATGATGTGTAAAATAAGAAGAAGAAATTCATAAAATATTTGCAATGCATTTCTGTTGCAAAGTTGAGAATTTCCGTAAAATATTCCGCTGTCAAAAATCAAATAGAAAACAAATTTTTTGAGCATTTTGTGCTGAAATCCTTGCTTCCGGTGCTGCTTTGAAATATGAGTGTCCACAAAGATACAAATATACATATATACATATGTACATAGAGTGAAGCGAAGTGAAAACTACAACGCGTTTCCTTTTTGATAGTTTGTCCATTTCAAATTTTTCTTTTAAACTGCACTCAACGTTTGATTGCGCGCGGTAGCAAAAATTAAGGGGAACTTTGATATAAACGCTCCCTCATCAGCAACCTGCTTGCGCACATATTTACATACATACATAATTAATGCGACGACGAGGAGTAATCGGTGCATTTATACGCTGTTGCCATCTTCTCAAAGGCACCTAACAGTTCGGCGTTGCCCGCCCGCCGCCAGTTACAAAGGCGCTTTGAAAGCGATGTTCTACCTTGTGTGCATATACATTTTTTACCGTTATACCGGAAGTCTTCCCACCGTTCAAACGTGTTGAGTATCAGTATAGGAGTATGTGTGTACAAACTATGTATGTACGAATAGTGATGTAATGGCGAAATAGCATAACAAGAGCGAAATGAGTTGATTGGGGTTTTTGGGTGGCAAGTGATGTTCCAATTTGCAGGATGTTGCGCTGAGAGCGTTATGACGGCGACGTTTGCGGGCTGCGCTGCCTACTCCCTTGCTGACTGACAGACTGGTTGACTATGAAATGCCGAGCGGTGTCAGCAATATCACTGAGGATTTCTTTGCTTGTTATATCTGTGAACGAGTTGCGCCCCGCACGCTTTTGCCATATCCAAATCCTTTGTAGTGCGCGACTTTGTTTGACATACTCGTACTACTCGTGTTGTGTCTTGTGTCTCGCGTGATGTCCTTAAAAAGAGTGTGCCTTTGTTTTGCTGTGCTGCCGCTGCTACTGCTCCTGCTGCTAAAATACACACACACAAACACACACACACACATACACACATCTGTGTAAATATATTTGTTGAGAGTGAGTGATACAATAGTGTACTGTGTTTGTGTGCAAGTTTTTTATGTGCGGCATGTTTGCGCGCCTCAAAGTATGCTATACAAACGGCTACACTTTGTCAGTGCTGTGCCGCTATTTGCATCTCCATGCAGTATTTTTTTCATCATCATTATCCTTGTGAATATGCATGCATGTGGTTGTTGTTTTTGTTGTTGTTGTTGTTGTTGTTGCTTTTTGGCTCACCGCTGAGTGCAATTTAGAAACATCAAAGTATATGATTTTTGCTTCTGTGTAAACGTGTTTGTGTGGGAATTTTCTTTGATGTTCGCGCTGAGGTGGCTTCGCCGCCTGAATCTCCGCCTATGTCCCTACCAAGTTGAGTTTGTGTGTGAGAAAACGGTAATGTAATAGCATGTGTTTACCAGTATTGCTTTGTAAAGCAACATGAAAGCGTCCGCCCAGACATTCCGGTAAAAGCATCATCTTTAAGTGCGCTCAAATGCCGTGCTTACCGTGCTTACCGCGCGCTCGTCAACTACAAACATGCAAACATTATAGTATGTACAAGCGCGCACTACCACCCCTCTCACAATAAACATTTACATTCGTACACACTGTGTAATTACTACTTTCTGCCTTTAGAAAACACTCACATACATGCATACAGACAAAGTGCATACAATATTTCTTTGGCATTTGTCAGTGGTTGACTTCCTTTAACAAGCTAAAATGCCCCGCTTTTCAATGACTTTGTCTTTGGCAGCTGTCTGCCAGCCTGGTTATCTTTACTCCATTCTTGCTTGTTTGTATGGGTGTTTATAAGTACCTCTATTTTCCCTTTGTGCTCTTTCTTCTATGATGTCTATTCGCATTCGCTGTTCGCTGCTGGCTACTGCAATTCGTCTCTCATGCCGCGTGTCCGTTTGTCGTGCGCGTTTTGTTGATTTAAAATTTTGACTTTCGAAATGGAGGTCAATTGGACTAATTAATGATGTCGCATATTGGAGCAGAAGGGGACAGTAGATATACATACATACACGTATGTGTGTATATTTTATGGGAATTTGAGGGTGGCGGTGAATTATGTGATGATGGCATGACGAGTTTTATGCAAATAAGAATTTGTCCACATGAATGTCAACTAATTTAATGAAAAAAAATGAAAACACCGCTAACTAATTTTCATAATTACTTCTCTAGAAGAAATCTAGACACACGAATAATGAGCATTGCGCGGATCTCCTTACTGGTTCAAACAAAACGTCCACTTATATACATAGATCTTGCTTACGTTCGCCTCCCGCCACGAAGTGTGAACCCCTCGGCATGTAAATTTAACAAGAAATAAAAAGGAAGATTATCCTTTTTGGCGTAAATACAGCCGAGCGCGCTAGTTGTTTCTTCTCTAGTCCCATTGAAGACACCAAGTGCGGCAGAATAATTTGCCACCTGATCTTTCCAACGGATTGTTGGTCTTCCTCCACTTTTGCCTCTACTAGCGAATGGCGTCGTATATCTCATATAGCACATCCTTCCGTCATTAGCCGCTTTCGCCGTTGCAAAAAGGTTCATAAATTGTACGCAAAAGCTTTCTCTCGAGAACTCCAAGCGCGACTTCATCGTCTACGCTGAATGCACTACATAACAGGACAGGAATGAGGGGTGATTTGTTGGGCCCAAGGTAGTACCAGTTGGCAAAACAACTCTTACTAGATCTAATTAGTAGGCCCTCAGCTCTTAACCTGCCATATTTGGTCCAATCTGCTTCGTTATCTCACAATTGGATATGTACATATTTTCAGCTGTTTTTAGTTAAATATTTGTTTAAATTGTCATTGAAGCTCTATCCCGATATTTTGCTTCGAATTTGTCAGAAGGCTGCTGCATCCTCCCGTAATTATTATTTAAAGCTCCTTTTCTATGTGTGGTACTTCTCTATGAAAGCTTCTAGTTACGTAGTTTATCACCAACTCGCAGTACATTTGTCGTATTGTCGAAAGAAGACGGAACTGCGGTATTTCGTTTTTTTATCGTGAATAACGTTTGTTCGGCTTTACAGGGATTGCCGTCTAGTCCATAGTTTGCGGCTCAGGAATGTATTTTCCGTAAAGATATTCCCATAATCTCACTGATCAGTCGATTACTGGAAGAAAACAGCCCTAATACCATCAGTAAGAGTTCGTCTGCATGTGCTACTATCGTCATCTTATCTCCGCAGAGTTCAAATAGCATTTCGTTCAGCCTCACTACTCATAGAAGCGGTGATAACATGCTTCCTTGAGAAGTTCGTCTACTTACGTGGCTTATTCGCGTCACTGAGTCGCTGGAAGTTATGATCGTGCATTGCAATCGTGCCGTCTATACCGGCATTTGCCAGCTAATCAATTTCTATAATGTTAAAGACTCTCCTTATGACTAGAAAAGCTGTCATTGTGTATTGTTTTGGAAGTAATGAGTTTTCTATTTCATTTATCACGTCGTGTATGGCGCTATCTGTTTGTCTACCCAAACCAATACCAAAGTCGTTCCTTCTTAACATGATAGGGTGGATCTAAAGTCTTTGTCGTAAGCTCTGCTACGCGGTTTAGATAAGAAGCCCATCTTGGATTGGCTTATAACTCCTTTTGCATAACATTTTGAAGGCAAAATATTTTAGCTATTATTGTTATTTACTTCGGCACTAATAAACTGCCTCCAAGGCTGTCATCGCACTGCTTAACATCTATGAATTACATGTAAACCTTTATTTCAAACGTTAATAGCTAAATTTGCTTTCACTAACTTTATTTTACTTTTATTCTTATTCTTTTATTTATTTTATTTTTTTCCATATTTAAAAGGCCAAATATAATATCAAAAAGGTTAAATTAATAAATATTATAAATATTAATTAATTTAATTAAAGATCTATTTAATATAAAGCATTGCTACCAATAAAGTAAGCTTTTACGCAATGTCATGACTTGCATAATACATTCCGCAAATGTCTCTATCAAAATATGTACATACATAAGTCAAACGGCTGCCATCGCCACACACCCACATACACCCCCACTAAATGCAATGCTTTGATAATAAAATTTTACTTATTAAATTATGTTTACATTAATCCCAGAGAACTTGAGCGTTTCACATTCCAATAATAATAATAATGATCGTGCATTTGTACATGTAAATTAGTTAAATCTTCATAGTTCAGCACGATGAGTTCATCTCTAAAGAAAATAATCGGTTGTTCACTCATTCAATGCATTCGCATTCACTATTCACTATTCACTCGCGCTCTGCCACAGTTGCTGTCACTGTCGCTACTGCCTACCCGCTTGCCTGTTCGCCTAGGCCGGCGTACGGTTCACACAAAATTTATTAGCTTGATGAAGTAAATGTACATTTGTCGTTAAAAATGCGCATAAATCCAAATGAATGAGAGCGTTTAATATGCCGCGACAAATTTCAATTAAAAATTTAATTGGGAAATGTGCTCATATTGACAAAATATAGTTTATGTATGTATGTATGCACCTACATATGTATGGTTGTTGTTTGTGGCTTTGTTTGTGCTTGACTAGTGGTGTGTATGTAAAAATATTTACTTAATAGTATGAATAGCATAACAACAACAAATACTCTAATTCGTAGCAAAAGTGTCAACAAACAAACCGTACAAGAAATGAGTGCTGAGAACATTAATAAAAATTTAAAAGTTATAAAAATATAAAGCAAGTCAACGAGTGCACGCATATTGTATGTACAAATATATGTACAAACAAAAGCATGTGCATAAAAAATGATAAACGCTGACAAGTGTCTTTAGGGATGCGTGTGAATGTGCATAGACAGATGTGCAAGTGTCAAATTGCGCAAAGAACAAGCAATTTAGGGAACAATAAAAAAAGGAACGAATAGTTTGGGTCACACACAAACGAACGAGTGGCATGACGCAGCCTATTTGATTGCTTTATTGAATGAACGAATGAACGGTTGACATTTAAATTCGTTGATGCAGAAAATGTGATCTACCGAATTTTATGTTACAAGTCGGTGCTGTAAATTGAAGTTGAAACAGGAAAATTAAATTCACTTTTGTTTAGTGATAAGTGTGTTTTCTTTTAAATTCATTTAGGTCTGCATATTTTTATATTTCTCCATCCACTTAGTGGCACGTTTGCTGATAATGCGACATGAATGTTTCTGTGCAAATGCGAATTTTATCGCAATCGAAGTGAAGGGAAATGCAGTAAAATAAAGTGCAGTAAAGAAGACGCGGCGATACTGTGAAAATGTCTGCACTTCCGGTGATAAATATTTAATGACATAAATTCAATGAGTGCCTAAGTGAATAATGCGAATAGCAAGTGGTGTCCACAACAAATATATTCATAAAACACTCAATGACAAAGCAGTGAATAGAAAGCGTAAATGCAAAAGGGAATAAATACATCCTGTGAAGTAAATCATTGTAAGAATTATAGAAGACAAAGTTTGAAAAACATAAACAACGTTAAAGTTAGTGAAAAAATACAAAAAAAATGTATAAAATTATAAGTAAAAAAATATAAAGAAAAATGAAATAAGGTGAATAAAAAATAAATAAAATAAAATAAAATAAAATAAATTAAATAAAATAAAATAAGCTTAATAAGAAAAATACTAAAAAATAATAAATATAAAACTAAATAAATAACTAAATAAAATAAAAAATACAAGCCAAAACTAAATAAAGTTAAAAAAAATACTAGAAAATAGAATAAAACTTAATTAAACTAAAAAATTAAAAAAAAAAAATAAAATAAAATACAATAACGTAAAATAAAATACAATAAAAGGAAAAATATAATCTAAAATAATTTAAGATAAAATAAAAAATAAAATAAAATTAAAAAAAAAATAAAACAAAACTATATAAAGTTAAAAAAAAATAAAAATTTAAATAAAATAAAATAACATAAAATTAAAACAAAATAAAATCAAATAATACTAAGATTAAAAAAGAGTAAAATAAAAAATTAAGTAAATAAGATAAAATACTAGAAAATAATATAAAACTAACTTAAGCTCAAAAATTAAAAAAAATTAAATTAAAATAAAGTAATATAAAATAAAACGCAATAAAATGAAATAAAATAATGTAAAATAAAATACAGTAAAATAAAATAAAATAAAACAAATTAAAATAAATCAAAACTATATGAAGTTAAAAAGTAATAATAATATAAAATAAAATAAGCTCAAATAGAAAAATTAAAAAAGGAAATAAAATAAAATTAAGTTAAAAAAAGTAAAATAAAATAAAGTAATTAAGATAAAATACTAGAAAATCAAATAAAACTATTTCAAGTCAAAAAAAAATAATACTAAAAAATATAATAAAATAAAATAAAAATGAAATAAAAGAATATTAAATTAAATTTAAAAACATATAATATGAAATAAATTAAAAAAGTAATATAAAATAAAATAAAATAAAATAAAGTAAAATAAAAAAGGATAAAAAAGAATTAATACAAATCAATTAAAAAAATATTAAAATAATATATGTATATAAAATTAAATGAAATAAAATTAAATAAAATTAAAATTAAAAAAAAAATCAAAGCAACATTTATTCTCAAAAACAAAGAAGTTATTAAATAACTAACACACTCTACCAACCATAAATATAAACAAATGCATTACCTGCAATTTACCTACACACTCATCACAATCGCGCTGCTATCGCCACACCTGGCACCAGCGCATGACATTGCCAGCGATAACAACGATGGCGTCAGTACGCGCGCAGAAGAACATAGTGCAATGCAAAAGTTGCCTATGCCAGGGAATACAACGCTTAGTCATTTGCCTCAAGGCGTCGTGGACTTAGATGAAGACAAGGCAATCATAACAGCAAGGACGCGGCAACAAGTGGTTATTGGAGAACAACCAGTTCACAGAAACGATGAACCAAAAATCCAACAACGTTTGCGTCGTCAACTGCAAGACACACATCAACGGCGACAAGAGCGACGTCATCGTCGTCGTCGTCGTCAACGACAAAATAGAAAATCACAAATCAACTCCGCTGATGGTACCTCGAAGCGCGCTGCTGGCGATGATGTTGCTATTGCTGTTGGTGTAGTCTCAGCGGAGGACGTTACTTTGGAGTTGGAAAATGTTGATTTTAATGTGAATAGCAATTCGAAGTTCGTTGCCGCTTCGGCGGCTGCTATAGCATACGATAATGCGGCCGATGAAGTAGACGATAACGACAATGGAGGCGATGATGATGATGATGATAATGATGACGACGTGTCCTCATCGGCGATATCGTTGGATGATGACAGTCAAGATGATAAGGTGCCCTTCGGTGAGTTGACAAATTGCTTGTGTTAGCATAAATTTACTAAGTGGTCGCAGTTGTAGTTGTTGCGGTGAGCTATGTACGAGTATATATGTATGTACATATGTTTATATCATATTTGTGTATATACATATCGCTGCAGTGTCTCATATAAACAAATCGCTACTGTGAAGAAATATTTTATTTTATTTCATTTTTTTATTATTTATATATATATTTATATGCATTATGCACATACATACATACAGCCATACTTTCCACAGGCAGCGGTTAAGTCATTCGCATAATAATAATGATATTCCTCTCACAATCGCGTCCGAGGGCTTGAGGTCGCTGCTTGTTATCAGTTATTACTGTTAAGTATACTTTTTCTGAGAATTTTTATTCGTACATCACATTTTCACACTCATTTAAGTTTTAAAAATATTCGTTTGTCTAAACAAAACTTTCATTGTTTCCAGTTATTGACTCGATTTTTATTACCTTGTCATCGTTAAATACGAGTACACCCAGCCCAGTCCAGTCCAGTCCAGCACAGTCCATTCGCTCGCGGGCGTTCTTTTAAGTGCTACACGAGTACTAAAATTTTAAGTTCATTTGTGATCTATTAAAGTTCGTTGTTGTTAGTGAATAAAAATAATTGTTAGACAATTAGGCCAAATCGTATGTTTTTTTGTTTGAGTAATTACATACTTAATGCTGTCAATGGGAGTTATTCATCTAACGAAAGCATTTAAATAAATAATGGACGCTTCATGAACCCTGGTACTATTTTTAGCCAAGATTCTTCTCTGATTTATGGTGTTTTTCTTGATTTTTTTCCTTAATTGTAGTTACCTAGGGGTTTTAGTCGCCTCAGTATCGGGTTGTAAGGTTTTCATGTCGGAAACACAAACGAAGCTACCGATGTTCCTCGCCGATGGCTAAACGTTTTTACAGCAGACTTTAGATTTTGGTCCGATTACGACTTACATCCGTGATTGTGAGAAGTTCTCATTGCTACCCAATCTGCTAGCGCTACCAACTAATCTAGTGCGTAAACATTGAATATCGTTGAAGACACATCAACAAGATTGACAGTTTTTAACCGAGGCTTTGTTGAACCTTTTAATTGGTGCTGGTTTTTACGTCGCGAGTTCTAAGTCCAGCGGATAACTCCAGTTGCCGATGAGGTACAATTTAAAGATATTCTTTATAGCGAGTCGTTTGCTGCGAGAGTGAAGTCCACTCGCTGCCATACTTGGTGTGATCAGACGTTAAATCCTGTGCATCCTTAATTTGTGGCTCAACATAAAATCATCCGCTTTTAGGCGTGACTCAAGGCTTCACTCGTGTTGGTTACTGCATCTCACTCACACAACAGTTGTTCACGTTTCTAGAGCTGGCGACAAGGACGCAAGAGTTAGGAACTGACTGCATTCCTCCCTAGTCAGTGGAGGTTTCTGTCTGCTTGGTTTGTTCGGTTTTCATCGTTACTTTACCTCACATTTAGACAACGTCGGAAGTAAAGACGGCGGTTAAGAGAACGCACTGGTACGTCAGGATAAAGAATGGAATGGTTCAATTGCCGTTTCGCTACATTGTGCAGACCTTAATTGTACTCTTTGTATGCATTAGATGGACTTGAACTGCCATATTCAATAAGTACTATCTTAATATGCTGGAATAGCGCGGTCGAATACTTCAAGATAATACACTCTTCACTCATACTGTGGTTCATTTGGCTTTGCGAAGCTTCGTCTAATTGTCTCTAATCTACGCTGGCTCTCCTCTATTCGTTACTGCACTGCCGCACTTCACTCGTCAATTCCTGAAGTGCAATTGTGGACCACATTTTGGCTCTACTCCACACCTTTTTAGATTCATTTTCCGACCTTTGGAGATATTATCCAAAGCAGCCGTGTCTAGTCAAAAATTTCGTTAGCAGTCAATCTCGCTGCTGCTTTTCTTCGTTTCTACCTTCTGTTGTCAGTTGTTCTTATTCACCTTTCATTCGTCGTCATGCCCTAGCGGCTTTGCTTCTAATTTAAACTCGTCAGCCTTTCTTGCATTTGATCCTCTGTGTTGGGTTATCTTTAATTGTTTATGGATTTGATGATCCCCATATGGGCATTCGAGTATATTAGCCGATCAGATCACACTGACTTACTTAAGCCCTGGTGTGCTCAGTTACTCTGGTTTGATCCCGCTTTTTCCGAAGTTCTCTCGAAGCGCGTACATTTAGTAATTCAGCCGCGTATCTATGGTACGTCTAGCTAATGCAGCTGACTGCTGTGTAGTACTGTTATAATCGTCGATTTAAATTTAGCGTATCCTACACATGTGGCTGTGGCCTTGATCTTTACCGTCACTTGAATATCGTCGGCACATCCGATGATTTGAACATTCTTCGGTAGTGGAAATCGCAGCACTCCATTGTAGGCCGCGTTCTACCGCAATGGAATCTGTGCAGAACTCTACGGCATACCACCCACGTTGCACCTGTCGCAGCTTAAAACTTAATAGATGCTTGTACAATATGTACATATGTGCTGCCAAGAGCTGTCTCTCTTTTGGTGATTCAACTTCGGTAAGGTACAATAGATCTGTAGTTTAGGTTCAGGTACAGATTTGCGTGGAGAGATGGGTAGGCGTGTTGTTGTTTTAATCGCAAAATATTTCCCGAAAATCAATTCGGGGTAACAGTCCTTGGCCGCATAAAAAATTCGGGTACTTCTTGCCTTACCACGGGTAAATTCTTGTGACCCTAACTCGCAGGGGCAATGGGACAACGTGTGTCACTCTACGTGGCTTGTGGTTACTCCGTACTGGAGTTTCGTCAATAGTGCCAGTCCGAGTATATTTCCGATTGATAAAAGCTTGCTGTGCCTCCTAATTGAACCGCTATTTTATCCCAAGACTACAATTTATCCAATTTGCCTTGCAACTACGTCGGAGGGCGGAAATATTGGTGGCCGTAGGTACCCCTAGGGTGACTTAGACATAGCACCGCGTCCTTCTAATATCTGCCAATACATTAAAGGGTAGTTTAACTTTGATGCGAAGTGTGTAAGTACCAGCAGAAGGATATGTTAACCCCTCATGATTTATATCGAACGACGAGTTGAGTTGATTGCCCTTTCTGTGCGTCGGATTGTGCGCAAACTAGCACCTCCGTTTTTGGAATATTTTAATCAAACTTGGCATGGATGTTTTGCCAGACATGAGAATTAATATTTAATTCAAAAATAAAATACCACAAATTTGAATCGGTCATGAAAGCTATAATGATATCGGCATGACCGAAGACGGCTCTCCTTTTTTGAGATTGCTTTTCAATGGCTTAAAGAAACGTGTAGTTAAACTCGAAATACCACCCACAAGCATCACCGCCACTTATGACGGCAGCTTTGTAATTCTAAATTGTATTTCGATGATTTTTTCGTCTTTTGTTACCATTTCTATTTGACTTTGTGGTTAATTTGTTCGCTTTGCTTTGAACTTCAGTTAATCATGAAATAATTAGGCACTCATGCACAACACTAGCAAAGTATTGTATCGCGCCTCGTTGCAAACGAGTAGGCATACAAAAATATATACAAAATATGTCTATAGGCAATTGCTGAGGGTGTTAGCTACCACAGATGAGATGCCCTCTTTGTCACTTTGTCGCAGGGCGCATAGGCGATACAAAACAAGTATTTTTGTTGTTTTTTTTTTTGGAGCGTCATCTTTACTCCTCACAGTGTGTACCTGTGTGTGTGTGCCTCGCTCTAGATTGCCTTGACTTTTGCATTTATTTTTGTTGTTTTGTTGTTAGGTATGAATGTGTGTTCTTTTGGAATGTCACTTTTACGGCTGTGTGACAATTTCAGAGATGTTCACCGCCACCCAATTGAGATTAGCGCGAATTGTGCAACGCTGCACACCGCGTTTTGAGACGCGCAGCTCTGAAATGTCGCCGACACACATGTCGCCGTACACTATATGAGATTTATATTTGCATTATTATCGTTACTTTTGGTTGATGTATGGGAAAAGCCGCGCTGTGGTGCGGGCTGATAAAGTGACAGACAATGTGACAGTGTCATCCGTTGCAGTGCAGCGGCAGAGCAGCTAGTGAAGCGGTAGGCAGATAGCGAGGTGGGTGAGTAGCTTGTTTGTTGCGAGGAAAGTGTGATTTTCACATTAAAAAAATAATAAAAAAAAAACTATAATTGAAAAAAGTTAAAAAATATAGAAAGCACAAAAAGAGATAAAAAATAATATAAAACAATTAATTAAGAATGGAAAGAAAAGATTGGTTTTTGTATTAAATAATTTAAGAACTTAAATTAAATTAAAAAAAATATTATAAATTAAAAAGTAAAAGGATAAAAACTTAAAAAATATTTAAAACAAAACCAAAAAAATATATTAAAAAATGCTTGGCAAGTCTGTTATTAAAAGTATTAAAAAAAAAAATAAAAAGGGAAATAAATTAAAAAATAAAAATTAAAATTAAAAACTTATATATAAACAATAGCAAAAAAGTCTGAATTTTGCATTAAAAAATTTGTAAAATTAAAAAGAATAAAAAAAAAAAATAAAAAAAGATGATGAAAATTTTAAAAAATAACAAGTAAAAAAATTTAGAAAAACGATTTCCGAATCTTACACAAATTAAAAATAAAAATTATAATAAAATATGAAATAAAATATAAAACAAAATTAAATAAAATGAAATAAAATACAAACTAAAAAAAAAATAAACTAAAAGTTAAAATAAAAAAAATATACAATAAAATATAAAACAATTAAAAAAGTTATAAAATAAAATATGAAATAAAATATAAAAAAAAATAAAATAAAATGAAATAAAATAAAATAAAATAAAATAAAATAAAATAAAATAAAATAAAATAAAATAAAATAAAATAAAATAAAATGAAATAAAATAAAATAAAATAAAATACAAACTAAAAAAAATAAATTAAAAGTTAAAATAAAAAAAAATATAAAATTGAAAAATATATAGAAGCCAAAAA